TACAGTACCCAGCACAATCATCCTCCCAGTTAAAATCTGCTGAATGTCTAAATACACACAGCACGTTCCTTTTCGTCTCTATAGCAATCTGGGTTTCTACTAGACCAAGGTTGTACACGTTTTTCCCAAAGCATCCTTTCTTCAAGTCCTATGTAGCAAAAGCCTGCTTAGGTAAAATAATATAAATTCAATGACGAATATAAGAACTCCTCATCAATATGTTCACTGCTAATAATTATTATTAAACAGCCTTTTAGAAACTTTGTATGTAGAGATAATATATTTAATTACATAATTTTAAAGATACTACATTAAAACACTTGGAGCTCTGGTAGCATAGTGCCTAAGGAACTTGACTGCTAACCAGAAGGCTGGTGGTTCAAACCCACCAGCCACTCCTCAGAAGTGAGGTTGGGCAATCTACTTCCATAATGATACTGCCTCGGCAACCCAAGAAGGGGTCGCTGTGAGTCAAGGCTGACTCGACGGCACATAACACCACCACCACCACCACATTGAAACTCCAGAGAAATTAGTATATGTTCATTGTAAAGAGACCTAATATTTTTAATTTTATTAAAGAGCTAACTAAGGTTAAGGAAGTTGCTTATATTATCTCTATCTGAAGACGAAGAACTGATGCATTTGAACTGTGGTGTCGGCTAATACTGAAAACACCACGGACTGACAGAGGAACAAACAAATCTGTCTTGGAAGAAGTACAGACAGAATGTCCCTTGGAAACAAAATGGCCACACTGTGTCTCACGTACTTTGGCCATGTGGTCAGAAGGGACCGGTTAGAGAGGGCTGTCATATTTGGTAAAGTAGAGGGTTAGTGAAAAAGGGAAGACCCTCAAGGAGATGGACTGACACACAGACTGCACCGATGGGCTCAAGTACAGCAAGGATGGTGAGGATGGCGCATGACCGAGTAGGGTTTCACTCTGTTGCACACGGGTCGCTGTGAGTCAGAACTGACTCGATGGCACCTAACAACAAACATAGTATCTATTAAGCAAAGGGCTAGGCCTTTTAAGGTAAGAAAATAGAAACAGTGCTCGTCTTGAAAAAATTCATCAAGTAGGAGGAAGACAGTGCTCAAATGACTGAATACAACCTGCTAAGGCAGATTAAAAAACAACATCAACAAAAAAAAACCAGCCTTCTGGTTAGCAGTCAAATGCCTTAGGCTCTACGCCACCAGAGCTCCTTGCTAAGGCAGGTGGCACTGGAAAAACAGAAGACACTGTGGGACTGTAAAAGATGGAGAGACTGCCGCTGACTGGTAAGATCAGGAAGTAAGGAAAATACTTCTGCTTTGGGTCTAGAAAAGTTGGTGGTGAGCAAGACAAGTAGAAGGATGGCGTGGTAGTAGGGGGTCATGTTGTTGTTGTTGTTATGTGCCGTCGAGTCGGCCCTGACTCATAGTGACCCCTCCTTGGGTTTCCGAGGCAGTATCACTACGGAAGTAGGATTGCCCAACCTTCCTTCCGAGGAGTGGCTGGTGGGT